CTCGCTGGCTCGCTCTCTCTCTCTCAAATGAATAAATTAAAAATCTTTAAAAAAATGTGTATGCAGGTGGGGTGATATCCAAGGGGGAATATCCTGTAGACAGGAAATCTATAGGGAAGGGGAATGAAGACAGGGGTGGACACATCTTGAGAAGTCATCTGCAGACAGGTGGCAGGTGTCTGAAATGTAAGAACAGATAAGCTCCTTAAGGGGGTAAGTGTTGGAGTAAAATGCCAGGAGGACAGGACTGAGTCTTTTCGGAACCCCACAGCTAATGGCAGTGGGGCAAGGGGGAAGGAGGGAGGAGCGTGTCCCACCTACATGCACAGAAGGTCACTTGCACACACGGCCATTCTGGGCATAGGTACCTCCCAGTGCTGGCTGAGATCATCCTCCTTCTGTTCTGTTTCTGAAACTTACTCATTTTTCAGGCACAACTCAGATTTCCACAACCCCAATTAGAATTTAAACTCTTGTTCGTCTCTGTTACTCCCACATGGTTAGCATTATGTTTGGCACATAATAGTTGCTAAGTGAGTATTTATTGAGCTGAACTAAACAATTAAAGAGACAGAGAAAAACTATTTGGGGATGACAGTTAATTTGTCTTTCTGAGTCATATCTTCTTCATTTGGGGGAATGGAATAGCCATTGTTAGGATTAAGTGAGATATGTAGGTAAGATATGTGGGTATTTAGTACAGTGCCTGCAACATGGTTGTTTATTAACCGGTAATTATTATTATTGGCTGGCAATATCCCGTGGAGGTAATATAATAGGAGCCTAGGGTGAAGGATTTCAGGAAAGAAGGTTCAACAGTTCCAAGGCCTTTGTGCATCACCATTGTACCCTCTTCCTCTGTCTCTGTCACACACATACACACACACGCATGTGTATACACCCATGACGTGCTAAGCAAAATATAAAACTCCTCCACTGATATCCTCTAGCCCTTTCGCCCCTGATATAAAGAGGAACTTCTTAGTAATATAAATTCGGTCCTGCAGTGGTTAGTTGAAATGGCCTTCATGGCTGGTTGCATGATTTCAACATCAAAATGGTTGCGAATTTTGACTCCAGCGAGATCAAGAGCCCACTTGCATGTTTTGTTTTTATTGGATTCTCTAAGTACAGTTGTCTCTCTCACAGCTTAGAAGCTGCTCTGGGAGAGCAACGTGGGACCCGAGAGTCCTAGAATCAGCAAGCACCATGTTGTTGGGCCAGTCACAGACAGAAATCTCTATTCCCTGACACAAACCCCTCTCTGTGATCAAACAAAGCTGCTATGTGGCAGGCCTTCCCAGCAGAGAGTTTTCTCTCCTCTGATGAGACCTGAGAAGGGATGAGGAGACGGAACAAAGACTTGGCATCCGGAGCACGATTGTGTGGGAAGGACCTAGAATTTTCAGTGACCTGACCGTTTCCTCTTTCCACAGCATCAACCTCCTGGTCAGCAACTCACTCCTCACCTTTGGGCCTGAGTGTGCAGCCAAGGCCCTGAGTTTATCCCCTAGAACAAGGACTCCAAGAACCAAGCCTCCTGTGGGCAGCTGTGGCCCAGCCCCCTTAGGACTCGGTTTCCCTGGAGGCTGGGCCCATGGGAACTTGCAACCCGCCCCTCTTGTGCTCCCCCTGGTTCTGTCCTTGAATTTCCTTCCTAGAAGCCCAACCTCTTAGGCTCTGCTCTCCGCCCCTTACTCCCCTCCCCCACCTACCAACCCACCCCTTTTCAGGGCATAAGGGACCTTTTCTATTTGCAGATCCTAAAGAAGCTGGTTGCCAAGGTGACAGGAGCAGGAACAGCAGGGAGCTCACCACGGGGGAGGGGCTTTGCCCCCAAACAGCTGTCAGTGGGAGCAGTCCCAGCTGGGACTACAGCATTTGCCTGTTCTGGGAGGACATGGCCCCCAGGGGGACACATTCCTCTCCACTATGATCCCCCACTGCCCCCCACCGCAGGTCTCCACTGGTTACTCTCCCTGGGGGCAACCAGCCAGCCAGCTTGAAAATGCTCCAATAATCAACAAAACCCGCCGCCCCCCTTCTCTCTCTCTCTCTCTCTCTCTCTCACACACACACACACACACACACACACACACACACACACACACTCTTCCATGCGCATGCCCACATGTTCTGATCCCTCTGTTCATTCACAGTGGGTTGGCTGGGCCAGAAGCCAAAAGTTACCTCTGCCTGAGGACCTGGGAGCCCAGTGCAGGTGCTGTTCCAGGCTGCCCCCAGCAGGGCATAAGGATTATTTCTGTCTTTTTTTGTTCCAGAGGCCCTGAGAGGATCTGCAGCATCCTAACCCTCCCCACTGCCTTCCATCTGGGAGGTAAGGGTGGGGGAGTGGAACCACCGACTTACAGAGAGGAAAGGGTAGAAGAAGAAGGAAGGAAGAATGGGAGGGGATGGTAGGAGGCAGGAACCATGCAAGGCTCACCGATGTGCGTGATCTAGATGCAGCTCACAGCTGCTCCACGGAAAGTTCTGTGGAACCCCTGGTCTCTGTATTGCATAGAGCCACATACTACTAGTCCCAGGCCATGCCTGGGACCCTGGACCTCAGCCTGTAACTCACAGGTGTTCACCTTTACAAGATTCAAGAGAAGAGAGCCCTCCACGATTCTGTAAACTGCAGAACTTAGAACCATCAGGCTCTTTGACTTTTGGGTCGCAAACAGGAAGGCCGAGGAAAGACCCAAATTACTGTAAGAAATGAGAGAGGCAAATACAGCTTAATGACTAAGAACACAGAATCTGACTCAGCCAGACACGGAACTGGTTCCCAGTTCTGCCACACTTATGTGACCTTGAGTGACATATGTAGTAAGTTACTTGGGTAACCTCTCTGAGCTTTCATCTTCTCATCTGCAAAATGGATAAACACACCTACCTTACAAGGTTCTTTCAAAGGTTAAAAGGGGGTGGTGTGCATAAAAATGCCTAGCATATGATCTAGATTACAGTAGATGTTTTATCAGTGCCCGGTTTTCTCGAGACCTCAGGGCTGCCTAGCACGTTTAGGAAGAACTCGAGAACTGGTCTTTCTTTTGAAGGGTTCTTTGAATCTGGAGGGCTGGCTTCGATCTAGGGAGAGGCTACATTTTGGCTTGGACGGGAACAGTTCTCGGGAAGTAGGGTTTGTAGGGTTTGTAGCTTGAATGAGAAGGTAGAAGGGCTAATTTGGGGTCTCACTCTCGTCCAAGCTGCTGTCAACTCACTGTAAGATCCCCAGCCTTAACCCTTTTGAGCCTAGTTTCTTTCTCCATGGGAAGAGGCTGGACTAATCTCTGAAGAAAGCAATCCTGGACAGTGAGAAACATCTGGAACCACAGGGCAGTGAGGACTCTGTAGGGAGCTGCCTTCCTTAGCTCAGCAGTGACTGTCCAAAGGCAGAGAATCACCAACCCTTTGTCCTTAAAACCTCAAGAAGGTAAATAAAAGACTGTAGCATAGATTCTTCCTTGCTCATTATTATGACACTTGACTTGTGCTTTCCCCTGTCTTGAATATCTTCCCTCACTTTGTCTGGTGGGTAAACTACTCATGTTTTGAGACTCATGTGCCATTTCCTCTGAGGGACAGTATCTCTGACCCATGCTCCTGGCACTGAGTTGGCCGCCTGTGCCCACACTTACCTTGGACTTACTCCTCTAATAAAATCTATGAAATTGAATGGATTTGCTTATATGTCCGGCTCCCTCCTTCTGACTGCACACTCATTTAGTTAAGGCATTGTATTCTGGCCCTCTCGGTTAATCTAGTAACCAGCATACACGGGCTCTCAAGAAAAAAAAACAAGGCAGGTTAGAATGGGTGGTAAAATGCTCTGGATGAGGACAGAGGGTCAGTGATGGTCTCAGGGATGTGACCAGGGTGATTCTCTCTTTAATGCAAAGCCGTGTAGTCTATCGCTATATTTACTCCCGTGGTCTAACAGCGAGGTCTTATTCCCTAGACTGATAAGCTGGCTTCTAAGGCTTTAAAAAAAATTTTTTTTATTTCTTTATCAGAGAGAGAGAGAGAGAGAGAGAGAACAAGCAGGGGGAGTGGCAGGCAGAGGGAGAAGCAGGCTCCCCCTGAGCAGGGAGCCCGATGTGGGGCTCAATCCCAGGACCCTGGGATCATGACCTGAGCCAAAGGCAGACGCTTCACGACTGAGCCACCCAGGCGCTCCTCCTAAGGCTTTTCTAAGGAAAGACTGCCTACAACAGGCAGAGCTGGGACATTGCTAAACAGGCAAGGAAAGAAGTCCAGCCTCAGGGAATGCTGAGTCAGCCTCCTCACAGAATCTGCCTCACAAGTAATATGGTTATTATTATTATTTTTTAATCTGCTAGATTTTTTTCTCAAGTGTCACCCTCATTGGCGAGCCTTTCTGGCTCTTCTGCCCGGAGCTAGATAGCTCCCCCGCGCCCCTGCAGTGCCCAGAGCTTGCGTGTATGAGGATCACATTGTCCCGCATTGTACTTGTCTATCTTCCCAGGCGGTGCCCTCCCTGAGGGCAGAGCCCGAGTTTCATTTATCTCTGCACGTCCAGAACTGGCAACAGAACTGGCATATATTAGTCAACAAATGTCTGTTGAATGATGAGAACATCAGCTTCCCACTCCCTCCTCTCCCTGTGCGGTTTCGTGTGCATCTGGCTCATCCCTATCCTTTTTGCTGACCCTCAGAGCATTTCAAAATTGCCCAACTGCCAACCTCCCCTCTCTCAAGGCTAAGAGCTATGACTGTGCACTCCGAGATTCACCATTGTGCCCATCGCGAAGGACTCATTTATTCCAAATGATGTGGCTTCCTCCTCTAAAGCTAGATGGAGGCGTGGTACAGAACCAGGAGCTGATGAACTGCTCAAGAGTGAAAGAGGGAAGAGAGATGCGGGGCTGGTATCTTAGCATGTCCATGGGAAAAAGGAAAGTCTGAAAGTTTCCCCCTCCCCTATTGTCCGCCTGGGTTTTCTGGGATAGGACCCTTGTCCCTGGAGCCCTTACCTGGTGCGACGAGGGGATGGGTGGCCACAGCGGGCGCCATCCGGCTGAGCCCAGCCCGGCCCTCCATGCTCCCCGGTACGCTGCTGTTAGCATCTCCTTTCCTGAGCGGCTCCATCACGCTGTCAGTTATGCCAGGCTTGGCACCTGCGGGGGAACCCTGAGCGGTGTTTCTGCCCTGTGATGGGGTGGGCAGAGGCTGGCTACCACCCGGCGTGGGTTTCAGGGCCAAGCTGGGCAGGACAGGCTGAGTGGGGGTAGGGCCCGAGGCTGCTGCAGTTGGTTGTTGCTGTGTTCGGAGGGTCAAGTTCTGTACCTGGAAAAGAGGGGTCTATAGGAGTCCCGAGAATGCGGGTAGGAGCAGGGGCAACACACAGCTAAGGTAGGGAAGGAATTAGGGATGGACCTAGGAATGGCTAAACAGGACAGCAGGTTGTAAAATCAGAGAGAAAAGAGAGAAAACGAGTTAGGGGCTGAAAGAGGAACCAGGAACAGGTAGAGTTTCTAAAGGGGACAAGAAAGAGTGCTAGTGATTGGATCCATCAGCAGAAGAAATTGAATTCTGAGAAGGGATGACCGCCCAGGCTGGGGCGGGTGGGCTCTCTCTCCCTTCTGTGACCTCCTCTCCTCCCCCGAACTATCAGGATGGGATGCATTCCATTTAGAAAGAATTCCCAGCTACAGCGGGGCATGGGGCTTTCCACACGCAAAAAGGCCAGGGCAAAAGTGGAAGCTAATTGACCAGTGCAGCCACCAGGCAAAGGATCATCTTGTCCTCACTCAGGATAAGGTTTCCACCAGGATCAGCATGCTTACTCAAGCTGGCCCCTGGTGCCCTCTGCTGGACGCGCGGAGGCTCTGCCAGACTCGCTCCTGACAAATCGGATTCTCTGGCTCCCAAGTGCTCTCCCGGTCTGTAGCTGGGGTGAGGAGGGGGTGGGGGTGGGGGTGGGGTGCTGCCCTGCTGCCCTGAGAATCTTTACAGCCACAGCAGTATCTGTGTGCTCCCAGCGGAAGGTGGGGACCCAGGACTTATCTTTGCTCCCTCTTCCGTGCCATTTTTCCTGAACTAGAGGTGCTAGTGTGTGTAGCCAGAGTGGGATTTTCCACTCGAAAAGCAACACAGAGGTTATACTGGGAAAAAGATAGTAATGACCACCCATTACTGCCAACCGCGTTTGCCTCAGCCTGTTGCTCTCTGACTCCTGATCTACGTTTGAGGGAATGGAGGAGCAGAGTCAAGAGTGGCTGAGGTCTTCTCAATTGGGGAATTGATTAAAGGGTCAGTCTGGGAGCATTGGGATGTCCTGTCTCCCCCCGGCTTTCCTAGAAGATCCCAACCTTTCCAAAGAGTCAAAGCGCCTCCAGGCCTGTGCCCATCCCCAGTATCAGTACCCCTCTACGGAGGTGCCCACCCCCCTGCCCTCCCAGCAGCATGGAATCCTCACCTGGGCGGGGGTGGGGGGCCGGGCGGGGGAGCCAGTGCCGAGCTCAGGCTGCACAGTAGCGACGGTGGCCGTGGGCGTGAAGATGAGCTGAGGGGACAAAGGAACAGTGCCGCCTAGGCTCCTAGCTACCTGCACCAGGTTACCTGGCTGGGCCTGGAATCACAGGAAACGAGATGCCTTTTACCTGCCCAACGTGGGCTCAGCCACAGGACAGGACAGTTCAGCCAAGGAGCAGATATGGGGAAAGAGGGAGGCAAGAGAGGGAAAGCGTCCAGGGGGACCACCTGAAAGTTTGTAGCGTACTGATCCACGCTGGGTAGTGGAGGGGATGGCAGAGGAGAGCCCATCGGGGGATGCACGTTGGGTTTACTTCAGAAGCCTCTGTGAGGAGCTCATCCTAGAGGGGCCAACATTCCCGGGACACCCTGAAGTCACTCTCTCCGTCGCACCCGGGGAGCAGGGGCCTTGGGTTCAGACAGATGCCCCAGGACCTCTTTCCAGGTCTAACTGACTCCTGACTCCAGGTCTGGACCAGGACAGGACCTCCCTGCACAAGGGATCAAATTAGATGTATTCTTTTCTCAGTTTTCAGTCGAATTTAGATTCGGGTGGGGGGTGTAGAGACACCGGTGGCAGAGGAAGCAGGGTGCCTAGAGCCGTGCCATGCCTGCCTCTCCTTCGGTGGGTGCGGGCTATATGATGGTCTCGGCGTGACACTTCCAACCCCGCGAGCCTCGTTTGGGTCCCCCGTGGACGTGCTGATATCTCACAGGCTGCTTTCCCCGAACTCTGAGGTGCACCTATGTCTACTCCTCTGTGCATGTATGCCCTGCGTTGGGGAGGGAGGCAGACAGGCTGAAGGACTCCAGCTGGGTGGCTGAGTAGGACAAGGGAATACGTAAACTGAAGACAAAGGCAAGTTTGGGCAGGGTCACGTTGCGGCCATCCCATTCCCTAGAGAAGTGCAAGTCTATTCCATACTGTGTGTCCCAGGGGCTATTCCCTGGGAATGGAACACCACAGTGAATTCGGAGTCAAGAAGGGAAGTGCTGGAGCAAGACCAGAAAAGCTCCAAGTGTCAAGTTCTGGCCACAGAAGCAAAGGGGGGGCGGGTAGGACTGTATTTTCTTCAGGATAGCATGTCAAGGAGCCGGAGAGAGAAATTCTCAGGATGGGAGACATGAGATCAGACTCCGTGATCCGAGCCTGACAGAGAGCTAGATGTCACTGCCTCCTGGAAATTCTTCCAAATCGTAGGGACCTAGACCTTAGGACCTTTGCATCCCTTAGGGACAGGTGTAGAGGAGAGATTCTAGGTATGCAGGTCCGGTGCTGATCCCATCCTGAGCACATGTGGCACATTCAAATAAGCTGAATTAACAGGTGAGAGTGACCCTGATTTGGAAGGGGGCCCAGTTGGGAGAGCAGTGGAGGCAGCAGCATGTCATGAAGTGGAATGCCACCTTCACCACCTGGGCTGGAATTTTCCTTTGGCCCTGGAGCCAGCGGTGGCCAGTCCCTGTAAGGACTGCCACAGGGGGTTAAGACCGCATTTCTGTAGAGTACTTACAGGGACATCTGTGTGTTTGCTTAAGTATCTGCATATACTGACCATCTGGGCACGGACCCCTGCATTTTCTACCCTAATTAATCTGGGGGAGTGGCTTCTGATAAGAAGAGGACAATTAGGGAAGGAAAGGAGGCATCCATCGGCAAGCTTCTCCATTTCAGCCGGGCACCCACCCTGTCCTTGAGTCATTGAGCCTGGACCCAAGCTCCCATTTGCCCTCTTGTTTATTCCACCCCTTACCTCCTGCCGCCTGTCCCTTGGTGCTCCTTCCCCCCACTTTGCTAATCCCTGCCCTCTCTAACCTCCCCGGCCCCGACTTGTCTGCCGCTGTCCTCCTCTTAGCCCACCTGAGCCGTGGCCCAGTCTGGGTACTCACCATCTGTGCCCTTAGGTACATCTGTGCTTGGCTTGCAGTCAGGGCCGGAGAAGACGTGTTGCCCAAGAGCACAGCCTGCTGGGCGATGCCTGAGGCTGTTGCCGAGTTGACGCTCTGCGCCCGGTTGATGAGCTGGGCTGCTGCTGGGGAGGCTGCCAGATTGATCTGAAGAGAGAGATGCGTGCAGTAGGAAGCAGGAGGTTCTGTTGGTTAACTCTGTGCCCCCCTCATCCACTTCTTTCTCTCCCCCTCCTCTGTTCCTTGGTGGATTCAGCCTTCTTTAGGACCATCTCTGGTACTTGGGCCTTGGAGCGCCCCCCAGCACTGCCCCACCTCGGGCCTACGTGGGGAGCTGCAGGGAGGGTCCAATGGGGGAGAGAACTGAACTGTAAACACAGAGCCTGGACGTTGGCATGAAGGACGACAGGGAGTCGCTAAAGTAAGGGTTAGAAAGAGGCACATGCTTCTCCCCTTCCCCACCCCCCCGCCCCGGCCAGAGTGATAGATTCCAGCCATGATTGTATGTGGCTAAGGATTAGCCAGCTGGGTCTGGGAGCCTGTGAGCATCTGGGGCAAGGAGGAAGGAGCTGGTCCCAGTGCTGTGGGCTCTGCCTGATGCTTCCCCATCTACTCACCGAGGATGACTGGGCTGGGGCCTGCGCAGACACACTGCTGCCTGACGTGCTCCCTTGTCTGTTGGCCACCAGGCTTGCCTAGAAAAGAACAATTCTTGGCACGAGGGGACCAGATCTCCCCCAGTCATTGCCCAAGCTCTCAAAGGAAGTGCTATAGGACGAAGGTTAGGAGTCCAACGCCTACAGTCAAACCCTCATTCTGCCTCATCAGTGTGGCCTCAAGCACCTGCTTCAGTTTCCTCTTTATAAAGTGGGGATAATAACAGAACCTACCCTGTAGCATCTCGGAAAGGATGGAACAAGGCGAAGCATTTACACGCAAGAGCTCAAATCGTTAACTATGATGATCACCTATCTTTCCGGGTCTCTGTAGCACCCCCCCCGCTCCACCCTGCTCTATCACACCGGGCTCGTATCACAGAGACTTCTGCACGGGCTGTCTGGCACGTCGCGCCTGCCCGCCTCCCCGTGGCCAGCTTCTTCTCATCCCTCATGTGTCAGCTTCCACGTCACTCCAGCAGACGGACTGTCCCTGGCAGCCCAACCTAGGACAATCCTCTTGTCTCTCAGGCTGTTCTCTTTCAGAGTGCTTATGGCAACTTAGAGATTTAGACATTCTGTTTCCTTGTCTATCTGGGTTTCCATTTACTTGCTCTCACCTCATCTAAGCTCCAAGAAGGCAGGGTCCACAGTAGACTCAGTGTCTGACATGAACTGTGGCACAGAGCGGGTGTGCGAGACTTTTGTTGAATGAAGGAATGCATGAGTTCCTCTCAGCCACTGAGGACAGACAGGAAGCTAGGTGGCCTTCTCTTGTGGACACCCCCTCGGCCCCTCGGCCCCCTCCGCATTGTGTGTAGTGTGGTGCCGTGGGGAGGTGGGGTTCTCCCAGCCCTTCTTCCTGGGGCCAGCTGGGCGGACAGTTCCACCACTCCACTCACGGGGCCGTGTGAAGTTGGGCCAGGTGCAGAACCTCCCACAGACTCTTTCCTCGTCTGGCAAAGGACCATGACCATCGTGCCCGCGCACGGGAGTTCTGTGAGGGTGCAGTCAGAGAAGGCCCAGGGGCACTCGCACTGGGCCTGCCCCTCCCCGCCTCACTGCTGCCACGCCGCACCCCCCCGGACCCCCCTCACCTGCTGCACGGCCGCCAGGCTCTGGAGCTGGGCGCTGCTGAGGTGCTGCTGCTGGAGCGCGGCCGTCTGTAGCATGAGGTGCTGCTGCTGGGCCGCATACATCTGCTGCAGGTACTGGGCCGCTGTGCTGGGCGGCCTGTGCAGCGCCTGCTGAATCACCTAGGCCGGGCGGCAGGGGGAAGGTTGCGCTGTGACCTGGCTCACGGGGTGGGGGGGCCACCCCTTCTGCCGCAATGCTTTGCCAGCCCCATCTCCCCCTAACTGCTCAGGGCACCCCAGGTTGGTGAGCAGCATGGCAACAGGTCACCACGCCCTAGGGAGCGGGAAGACGGCGGGCTTTCACACTGCATACTCCCCTGCCCTCGTCTGTCCCGCACATCTTCAGCTCGTGTTCTCCTCTGCTCCTCCCCAACTCCATCTGCTTCTGCGGCCGCCGCCCGCTTGGGGAAAGTCATCGCGGGATACGGCTGCTCTGACCGGCTCTGGGTGGCGGGGAGGCTCGGGGAGATAGCAGACAGCAGGGAGAAAGCCTCCAGTGATGCTGTGTCCCGTGCCAGGCTTGTTCACCACCCCACCCCCACCCCCACCGGCCATTCCCCATCCTCAGATTCAGGGGGCCGGAACACTGGACGGTGATGGCTGGGAACCGAAGCCCGATAAGGCAGAGAGCAGGAAAGGGGTGGGAGAGAGAGGCAGGTCCCAAGGGGGGCCTATTGCAGCCTTAGCAGCACAGCCAGCAGTGGAAACTGACCCAAGGGCAGCCCCCTCCCTGCTGGGGCTGCTTCCCAGGTCTGCCCCCAGCTGCTGGAGAGTCCTAGCAGTCCCTTAGAAGAAGGTCCTGTTGGCCTTGCAGAGCAGGCCGGTGCCACAGGGATGATGCATTTCTCTTGTACTCTTTCCCTCCCCCTCTCCATCGGTCCCTCTTTCTGGCCACCATCACTTTGCCTTACTGCTCCTCCTTTTTCTGGGTGGGACTGGCCGAGCCACTGTCTCTAGGAAGCGATAAAGGCTGCCTTTGATCCCCCCCACCTGCTCTTCACTCCCGGTGTACCAAAACCTCCCCTCGCCCCCAGGAACAAAGAAAAGTGAATGCCTTTCACCCAGCCCTGAGATCTTCTGTCCTCTTCTCAGCCCCACAGAGAATTCTCTTCCCTTCTCCTTGCCTGGTCACCCCCCTGCCATCTCTTGCCGCCTGATGATCCCTGTGGGCCCTGGCCAGTCTTTGGCCCACTTGCTACCCTTAGACCTGCTGCAACCCTGGCCATGGGGCTTCTCCCAACCCTGGGTCCTGCCCGCAACAAGCAAGCATCCAATCTGGCTCTCTCTGGCTTAGCCTGACTTCTAGGGCTGGTGGCTCTAGAACAAAACCATCTGTGAGCTCAGATTTGGAGTTCTGTGAAAACAGGCTAATATCACAGATTCTTCATGGGCTCTGGGGTCTCCTGATTCTCCCACCCCAACCCAACTCTTCAGATCCCACTCCCCTTTAGTGTTCTCTCTCCTCGGAGGGTCCTGGTTTATACAAGCGCAGTTCTGTTTATTCCTTGTTCTCTCCCAGAATTCTTTCCTCTTATTCCCTTTACCCGGTCCTCTCTCTTTCCCTTAGACTCCCGAGTACCTCCCTGCAGTCCGGACAGCAGTAGCAGAGATACCGTGGCTCTTCCTCACCTGAGGACTGGTGTCAACGAGTGGAAAAGGCAGGAACCCTGAACGCCTGCTTGGGTGCGCAACGCGACCCTGGGGGATTCCATCTGCCAGTGCAGAAAAGCCCAAATCCCTTGCGTAGAGACTTGTGATGAGGGATGGGAGGACGGCACATCCTAACATGGGCTGCTAGAAGCTGTGCTCAAACTCTCATATTCCGAGGGGCTGGGAAGAGGCTTAGTGAGGGGTGGCAAGGATGGGTTCAGGAAACATGGTTTTTACTCCATGGGAGGCAGAAGTAACCCGGAGAGGGAAGACTCCAGGGTATCTGATGGTGTCTCCAGATGCTCTCGCTGTCTGCCGTGACCCGCCTTCTACTCCCTAACCTGGGCCAGGCGCCAAAGCAGGATGAGGTCACTTGTCTGGTACATCATGCTGGGTTAGCACAGCTCCTTGGGGTGAACACTTCTCAGCGGCAGTGTCTGTCTGTCTTATCTGGGGACCTCACACAGACACAGGGTTGAGGGGAGCATGAGGTTCAGCTTTTTTTGTCTTTACCTGAATGACCTGGACGAGTTACTACCTTCTCTGAGCCCCAGTCTTCTCGGTTATGGAATTGTACCTATAATAGCCATTTCTAGCTGGAGGAGAAGATAAATCTGCAGTGATTTTTGTACCATGTAGGGCACAAAGCAGATGGCGAGACATGGGCATGGCTGTGTGGGGAACCGGGTGTCATCACCCGGAAGGCCTCAGGGATGACACTTAGCAGACCGCTGCTTTAGGGAGATTGCTTTGGGGCTCCTTTTTCGTCCTCTGTCTAAGAAACTTGGTTTTATTACAGGGCAATGGTTCTTCAGATAGTGGGTCTAGGTCATGGCTGAGTGGCTCCTTATTGTTTTTTCTGCTTGTTATTTTTACTTGTTCCCCAGCCCCCTAGCCTCTTCACACTTTCACACGCCTGTCCTCCCAAACAGCACTCTGGGATCTGAATCACCAGGTGAGATAGGAATTTTTCAGATCTGCGAAGTATCCCCACTCTCCCCGAACCCCCTTGATCGGACCCGTCTAGCATCACTTCTCCTCTAACTGTGCCTAAGTATATATCCACGAACACACTCCCTGATGCCCATTCTAGATTCCACAGCCCAGCTGCTCCACCAGCCCATGCAGACCCATCCTCCCGCTAGCCCAGATGCGGTCCAGGAGTACGACCTCAGAGCAGCCAGAATCTTACCTGCACGGTCTGCCGGTCGGGGATGCCGCTGTACACGGAGATCTGGGGCCCCGAGGGCCGGCCACTCCCACCGCTGCTGCTGCCGTAGCAGGCACTGCCGGCGCTGCTGGACGTCTGGGGGACTGGCAGCTCGTTCTCCATGGCCTGCGCGGTATGGCACAGTCAGGGCGCTCCGACGGCAGAAGGGCAGGCGTGTGCTGGGTGCGAAGAGGCAGAAGTGAAACGTCACACAGATGCCTCCCAGAGAACCCACACGTACGCATCAGCTTCCCATCATCCTGGGGTGGGACCGCTTCTCAGCTGAGGCCTGAGGCGTACCTGCCACCGCAAGGAACAGGGCCAGGTGTGGCTCACAATCAGATCCGCCTGATGTTAAAGTCTATGACCTGGGGGCGCCTGGGTGGCTCACAGTCGGTGAAGCATCTGCCTTCAGCTCAGGTCATGATCCCCGGGGTCCTGCATCAGGCTCCCTGCTCAGCGGGGAGTCTGCTTCTCCCTCTGCCTCTGCCCCCGCCCCGGCTCGTGCTCTCGCTCTCTCAAATAAATGAATAAATAATCCTTCAAAAAAAAAAAGTCTATGACCTGGCACTCCTCCTTCTGCTGAAGGAGCTAAAACCAGCCAAGGAGGCGGGTTTCCTCCAGTGGCCTTCCTGCCAGTGATCTTAGGGGTCATCTCTCCCCCGCTGTCTACGCTTTCACCTTTGGGATGGAGAAATTGGGCATCAGAGAACTTATTATGTGTCTGTATGTATAAAGCCAATAAATGAAAGAGATGGGATTCCAAGTCTGGAGAGAACAGAATGAGAGAAAGAGACAAATGCGGCAGTAAGATGAGTTGGAGTGTTTATTTGGTTGTGTTGTTCCAGGCCCAAAGAGCAGCCAGTGTGTCTGGAGTCTGTTTTCTCGATGAAGTAGTTAGTGAGTGCCCTCTGATCTGATGCTGAGCAGGGCACTGCATCACGCGGTGTGGTTAAAACTGCAAGTTTTGGGATCCGAAAGACTTGGGCTTGAGTTCTGGCTCTGCCGCTTAGTAGCTGGGAAACCTTGGCAAGTCACACTTCTCCAGCCTTCTGTCTTGATCTGTCAGATGTGAGAATACATGAATTGGTGAGAGAAGCAAGTCAAAAAGTGATACCAAGTGCTTAGTAGAGCGTCAGGCAAATACGGAGTGCTCCCGAACGCTGGCTGTCATTGTGGTTATTAAAACTGTCTCCAGTCCGGTTCCAATAGATCAATCTTCTTCCAAGGTACAACTGGCCCAGCCTCCTGGAACCTTCTATCCCAGTCACTAAAGGGTGCCGGGAATTCCCTCAGGGACCATCCTATGAGCTGGATTCAGAACTGGAAATCACACATACCCTTGAGACATGTGCTGGGGAATGAAGGGGCTGGAAGGGAAGGAAGGGTGGCGGGAAAGACAGACCCAGGTCCGAGGTCAAGTTCCTCTCTTTCTCTTTCATGCTATTCCTGAAATTCTCATTTCTCTATATGAGCTTTTCCTTCTACCTATTCTTTCCTATATCTAGAAACGACACTTGCCGTCCCATCATAAACACTGAATTCTCTGCTTGCAGATTAGGCTAATTTAAGAAATGAAAATAATAATGATTTTTCATACTGATGAGAGCATTGGTTAGTACCCAAAACTAAAATAGTCATTAATGTCCTATTGTCTTCTTCCCAACGCTGCTCAGTGTGGCGGTGGTTACCACTCCTCAGGCTGCCTTCTTCTGACCGGGTGGATTTCACAGTGAGCCGAACAAAGTGGGGGTAAAGGCTAACGGACAGGAACGTGTGGGTCCTGGGTCCTTGAGCAGTGAGTTTCCCTAATGTTTGAACGTCTGCTTTCACTGCCACAGGACAAGGCTCTTGTCATGAGTCCCTTTTGTCCAGAGCTGCACTCAGGGCTGGGCCTCATTATGGCCATCATCGTCAAAGATTCTTACGATGATAACAACGATGCAGGAATCAATGAAACCCCGGAGTCGACAAATATTTCCTGTGCTCTGCTCAGTTGTAAGCTATCTTATCTTATGTTCTAGGGAGGGACAGGTAGGCTGGATAGGAAGGAGAACAGGCCTAATTGCGATCTAGCAGAAACCAACAAACTGGTTGTAGAGACGAGGCTCAGCTGAAATGTCAAGGATCACCACCAACCAATCAGAGTTATGTTCAAACACGGAATAACCCATAGAATCCCAAAGTCGTCTTTTTGTGAAATACCTTTCCCAAAACGTTGACCAGGATTGGGTTCAGTTCTTGCTTTCATTCTGCCCTAGGACAGTTCACTGGAAGTACTTACAAACGTAAAACGTAAAACGTAAAACGTAAAACGTAAAACGGGGAAACAGCTGCAGTCACAGCAAACTGAAGACGGAAGGAGTAATCCACGCGTCCTAAATGGCAGAGCCTCAGCTCTATTTTATTTTCCCTTTGCAGCAGCTCTGGCAGATCTCGTGCACAGTGTATACTCCGTCCTTGTTGAGAAATAAAACAGGGCAAAATCCTAACGAGAGCATGGCACTCCTGTATTGAAAAACCGCACAGGCAAGGACAGCAACTGCCCCTCATGCTGGGGTAGGAGACTTAGCAACATGGGGACAGACACAGTGCGTTTCCTGAACTCTCTTACCCTGCCTGTCTCCTTCCTCCTGCTGCTAAGCATGCCTTTCCCTTCTCTCTTCATTCTTGCATTCTTGGCTTCTGCCCCGCCCCCTGCCTTTTCTGTCTCATTACTTTTTGCCCCCAACCCCTGGTTTTTGGGTTTACCTGTTCTTGGTTCCTGTCCCCTGTCCCTATCCTCTGTCCTACCTGTGCTTCCTTGCCCTGGCCCCATCTTCCTCCATGGGGAGGATCACACTTACCTCGATTGGTGCTTTGGCTCTGGACTCTGTCTCTCTCTCTGACTCTGGAGCACGTGCATGCATCTCCCCCTCCCCGTCCTCTCTCTCTTACCCAGGTCCCATTGATCCTGAGTGGTTGCTCCAGCTTACTGTAGTGAGCTCTCTCTCCCCATTCCTGACCTCTGCTCTCTCCCCAAACTGGGTCCTAGCCCTGCTCGCCTGCCCTGCCCATGATGGCCCTTGCTCTGCAGTTGGCTCACTCTGTGTCTGCCTCCCTTGCCTCCCATGCTCTAAGCTCTCTCTTCTTTTCTGTGCCTGAGGATATCTCTCCCCCAGTCCTGATCCAGCATATCCTCTCGCCTTCATTCAAGTTCATGCTCTAGATAGTGCATGCGCCCTCTCCCTCCCTCTCTGGGCCAGCACTCCCTATTCTAGCTCAAGGTTTTGATAGCTACAGTAGTCTCTCAAGTGTACGCTTCCTCTTTGGCTCTCTCTCACTCACTCATACAAAGCAGAGGAGGGAAGTACAGACTGCCTAGGAGATTAGGGAACACTTAAAAGGAGAAGTAACATTTGAGCTGCCTGAACCCACACTTTCTCGCTTTCACTGCATAAAGCTGCCCTGTCCCACCTTCCACTCCTTGTCAGTCATTTCTAGAACCTTTCGCAATCAACAAGTTCCTGGCTCCCCCCAGATATGAACATCTATTGGGCATCTACCACATGCAGGGTATTCTTGCTAAGTACTGGGAATAGATGAGGTAGAAGACATGAATCCTCATTTTGAGGTTTTCACTTTTGTGGGCATATCCAAAATAGTGAAACCTAAAGTCTTTTGCCCCAGAAAAGAATGCACAGAGACACACAAAAAATGTACTTGTAATTAGAGAGGTTAATGAATCCTTTGAAGCCGGTGCATTAACTCTGGACTAAGAAGCTCTGCTTCTTAGCTAGGTAGAAATTGGGCAGGAAGTACAAATTTGAAGATAAAAATATTATTTGCTACCATATGCCAAGTTCCAGATGAGTGACTGAGACAACATTTGCTAGTGTTACGAAAAGTGAGGCATAAGGAATGTGTGCAGTGGTGTAGATGGACAGTGGAGGAGCTACTCCAGGGTTTGTGAAGCCCGGATTTATGCAGCTGCTGGATAAACAGTCAATGCTGTAAGGTGAACAGTGCCCAACCTCTCCCTCTGGGCATTCTCCAGTGGCTCAATTTTCCTAGGAGAGGCAATGCATTAAAGGAGAAAGAGCTGGGGATTAGAAGGTGGGTAATCCTAGCTTTGGGAATACCAGTGCAGTGTTGCCATTGTATAGCCTTGGGCAAGGCAGGCTCTCTTGAGTGTTGGTTCCCTAATCACAACATTGGGTAGTAATAATACCTGCTGAGGGGGTGGTGGTAGTGGTGGTGGTGGTGGTGGTGGTGGTGGTGGTGGTGGTGGTGTGTGTGTGTGTGTGTGTGTGTGTGTGTGTGTGTGAGGATTCATCTCTGAGTCTCGTTCCACTTTTCTAATCGTATACAGGCATGCCTCCAGAGATATTGCGGGTTTGGTTCCAGACCACCACAATGAAACAAATATCACAATAAAGTGAGGTGGATGAATTTTTGGGTTTCCCAGTGCACATAAAAGTTATGTTTACGCTCTACTGGAGTCTGTGAAGTATGCAACAGCTGTATGTCTAAAAACATGATGTACATACCTTACTTAAAAACTGCTTTATTGTTAAAAATGCTGACCATCATCTGAGCTTTCAATGAGTTGTAATCTTTTTCCTGTAGGAGGGTCTTGCCTTGATGCTGATGGTTGCTGACTGATCAGGATGGTGGTTGCTGTAGGTTAGGGTGGCTGCAGCAATTTCTTAGGATAAGACAACAGCGAAATTTGCTGCATCGATTGGCTCTTCCTTTCACAAACCATTTCCCTGTAGCATGTGATGCTGTTTGATAGCATTTTACCCACCATAGAACTTCTTTCAAAATTAGAGGCAATCCTCTCAAACCCTGTTGCTGCTTTATCAACTCAGTTTATGTCTTACCCTAAATTCTTTGTTGTCATTTCGACCTTCTCCATAGCATCTTCACCTGGAGTAGATTCCATTTCAAAAAACCACTTTCTTTGCTCATCCACAAGAAGCAATTCTTCATCTGTTAAAGTTTTATCATGAGATTGCAGCCATTCAAATATAATAATGAAAAAGTGTGAAATATTGCAAGAATTACCAAAATGTGACACAGAGACACAAAGTGAGCAAATGCTGTTGGAAAAATGGCACCAATAGACTTGCTTGACACAG